GTGAGATCCTATCTTAAAAAAACCAAAACAACAAAAGAACACAAAAAAGGGATATAATGGAAAGAGAACCAGGAAGTGGCAGAGCCAAGATTCGAACTCATGAACTCCTGAGCCTGGGTGCTCGACCACTGAGCCTCACTGCTGCTTTCTTGGTGGTGATGAGGCCTGTGGCTTTTCACGGTGGCCATCCTCCTCCCCAGCTCTCCTCAGCAGCCAGAGTCTGGTTCTCCAGCTGGGGGTGGGGTGGCAGGAGGCAGGGTGTGGGTGGCTTCCAGCAGGGCTGCCATGCTGCCCAGGCCCACCCCCAGCTCCTCTGGGAGCGGATCAGAGCTCTGAGGGATGGAGAAGCTTGGGTAGAAGGCAAGAGAAAGGTGCTGAGCCTGGCCACCAGGAACGACGGGCCCTCCTGCTCTCCCTCCTTTCCTCCTGGGATTGTGCCACTCCTTCTCCTGGAGCTGTCAGCCATTCCTCTCTCTCTCTCTCTCTGTCTCTTCGGCTGCAGCCCCCAGAGCAGGGCTGGCAGCAAAAGGCTTGGAAGGGGTAGTGCCCTTCCCTGCTGCCTGCTGCCTGCCTGCCTGCCTGCTTGCCAGCGCCCTCCCTAGCTGCGGCAGAAGCTATAAAAAGCACAGCCCTCAACAATAGGTGACATCACCCGCAGAGGGAAGAGCTGCATCCTGCCAGACGCGGGAGAGTCAGGGCTGGAGGACCTGGGCGGGGCTTGGGGAGGTGCCCCTGAACCCCAAGGGACAGAGCCCAGGTTCTGCAGGACCCACCCGGGGGGCAGGGCAGGGGCAAGTCTCTGGGCCAGCGATGGGTTTCCTGGGTGTCCCAGGGGTGGGGTCTACAGAGGACCCCGGGGAGCAGGGCCCACTGAGTCCCTCAGGGTCCTCCGAATGTACTCAGACCGAAGAGCATGGGAGCTGGGAAGGACGCCAGGGCCCGACGGGGAACCCAGACCTCTTGGGGGGGCTGCTCTCCCGGCCCCTCTGGGAGCCCCGCCCACTGCCCTCCCAACCCTGCTTTAGGACAGCACCCTGCATGCGCACTGAGCCGGCCACACGAGGTTTGAGGGTGGGGGACTCCAGGGGCTCAGATGGGACAAGGAGGCCCAGCAGGAGGAACAGGGCGGGTGAGGTGGGGGGGCCAGCCCATAAAAGCAGGGCTGCTGCTGTTTCATTATACCAAAGTCTATATTGTATTGTAGAAAACATGCATTGTGCGTATGTGTGTGGGGGGGTGTTTTTACACATATGTGTGCACTATTAAATGAGAAACATGGGCATGAATGTGGTAGGATTTTGCACATTTGACATATCGATGGTTTCTCTAGCAACCTTATGATTTCTCTAAATTAGATGCTTGATTTAATTCATAGTCATTTGTTTGGGAAGAATATTACATATGTGTTGGTGTTAAATTCTATCATTATGCTTATAAAATATAATAAAAATAAGCATGGGATATAACAAAAAAGAAACAGAAAAATCTGATCTTAAAAATGTGAACTCTTAGTTGTTTTTGGATTTCAAATATAAGTATATTTCTTCTCTGTGGAAAGTTTTGTTAGAAAATGTAAGTGGTACAATCAACAAGCATATGATATTTATCAAATTAATAAAACCAAGGAGTTTATAAATCATAAAATTTTGAGGACAGTTTCTCAACTATAATATGTAACTTTGTTTTATTTGTAAATACACTATTTCAAAAATGTTATATGAAAAGAAAATGAGAAAGAACATATAATGTATGAAGATCTTATCAAACTGATAATGTATTTGGGTTATCAGTCTGTGTTGCATAAATTTTTGTTTATTTCATATCCTTTTTTGCTGTCATATATATGTATATTTGAAATTTTTATTTAGTATCTTCATTTCTTGTTGTCATGTATGTTTGCAATCTTTAATTTTAAAAAATACCAAAAAAAACCCCAAAAAACAGGGCTGCTGGTGAGGTAGGAGGAAAGGGACCACAGGCTGTGAGGCTGCAACCTCAGCCCCATTGTCCCCAGGGCCAAGGCCCTCAGCCTGAGGCAAGGTGGGGCTCGAGCCTGGCCTCTGCCGCAGCTGGCCTCGCAGCTGCAGTGAGCGGTTCTCCCTGATCCAGGTTTAATCTCCTGCTCTGGATCAGCAGCCCCCACCCTCCTCCCACCTCGTCCCCTGAGCTCCCCCAGCCGCCCCATCTTGGGATTCCAGGCTGCACACAGCTCCATCCCCGACCCCACACCCTGGCTTGGGAGAGCGCAGGTGTCACTTCAAAGTTCAGCTGCTCAGCCTGTGGCCCATCCTCCCCTAGCCGGCCCCAGCCCACCCTGTGACACCACCCAGGCCCCAGCCATGTCTGCCTGTCTGGTCTCCCATCTCCCAGCACCGCCTGCCTTCCCTCAGGCCTTGGCCTCTGCGGTTTCTTCCTGGGACGCTTAACCCCTTTGCTGCCTGCCAAAGTTGTGCTTCTCCATACCGTCCTCCTCCTCCCTGCACTGTGGTCAAAAGTAACCCCTCTTCCTGCCGAGTGCGTGACCCTCTACTCAGCCTTCAGTGCTCGCAGTGCCCGGCTCTGGCCCTACATTTCCATGAGCGGGTGGCCCTGCTGAGTGTGGTCCAGAGGTGCCAGGCACCGGGCTGGGCATAGGTGTCCTTGCGCTCTCAGCGCACACAACCTAGATCCCTCGCACATGCGCAGTTCACAGCGGAGACCGTGCTCCTAGGGCCGCAGGTAGAACTCAGGCGGTGATGGAAGGGTGGGGAGTGGCTGAAAACACAGACAAAGCTTCGCTCTCTCCCGCCAGCTCATGGGCCTCTGTGTGGCCCATCTGCCAGGTGTTGGGATCCCTGCTCCATCAGATTCCATGGCAGCTGCGGCTGGGGGTGCCAGGCAGCGTGGCTTCTCCACTGTGTGCAGAGTCTTGGGCTACAGGGCCTGGCCTAGGCCTTATGCTCTGGCCTTGCAGAAGGACAGCTTGTTCATGGCCGGGGTCCCGGCATGTGACACACCCCTGGGTGAAAGAAGCTGCTGGGCTAGAACCCGGCAGATCCCTCTCACCTGATCCGGGTGGCCGAAGTCAGCCTGAGGAGTGGGTAAGGGGAGTACAAGGACCCTGACCTGGTCTGTTCCCACCCCACTCTCAGATGGACACTGCAATTCTCCATCTGGCTGGGTCCCCTAGTGAGTCACCATGAGGGACCAGAAGCTCCCAGCACTGACTCTGTTCACCTCACCTTTATTTAATTTGATTTAATTGACTGACTGATGGTTGAATCCCGGACCTCAGACACGCTGGGCAAGCGCTCTGCCACTGAGCCACATCCCTGGCCCTTTTTTTATTTTTTATTTTGAGACAGGGTCTTACTAAGTTGCCAAGGCTGGCTTAGAATTGTAGATTCTCCTGCCTCAGCCTACCCACTAGCTGGGATTGCAGGCCTGTGCCACCATTCCCAGCACTTCTGTTGATTGCTGCCGTGCTATGATTTTTCGGAGGCAGCAGCTTGGGTAAAAAGGGGTCCTTCACTTCTCTGCTTCATGGGAACCATTCTTAGACCCTCAGTTTGAGGGTGGCAGTGCCTGTCTCAAGGGGACCTAGCAGCTTCACATAAATGTCTGTCGAGTGCCCAGAGTGGACAGAGGAGCCATATGTCTGTTCCCTGCTGGCTGGGGACAGTTGTTCAACACCTCGGCAGGCAGGGGCACAGCCACTGTGTTTGCCACACTCAGTCCCAGGCTCCTGCCTGCCCCGCAGAGCTCTGCCCTTTCTGGGACTGCGTCTCTCTCTTCGAGCCAGGGCTTTGCTCTGTTGTAAGGGCTGGCCTTGAACTCACTAGGTGGCCCGCGTAGCCCAGGCCGGCTCCAACACGTCATGAGCCTGCTGCCTCTGCCTCCTTAGTGCTGGGATTACAGATGCACGGCCCACGCCCAGCCAACCATCGCTCTATCAGTGAAGTCACCCGTCCATCCACCCACCCACCATTCACTCTGCGCAGACTCACCCGA